TCATTCGGTGGGGATCTCGAAGGGCATGGGGATGGGGAAGGGGGATCGGTGAAACGATGCCGAACAGCGCGCTCGGTGACTCCTGCAGCACCCCCCTCTCCGACCCCGGACGCGCAGGGCGCTCCCGGGCGCACGAGCCGAGCTGCCCGCGGCCGGCCCCGCGTGCGCCCGGCGTGCCCCTGCGGGCGGCCTCTCTCCGGCGCGGCGCAGGGCGCGCTTCTGTTCTCTTGCGCAGCCCTGTTCCATGAGTGGAGTCGGGCCTGTCCCTCTACGGGGGGGAGCATTCACAAATAGTCAAGAAACAATATGGGGACAATTTTCTGAGCATTCTTTGGCTATTTGGGAATCTGTTTCGAATCTTTCGTATTTTTCGCCCAAAATCCGCCTGTAGGGGAACATGCCCGACCTAACTCTAGAGCTCGGACCTCTTCATTTTCGTCGTCGTTCGTTCGTTCGTCGTTCGTCCTTCCCCCCTCCTCCTCCCCCTTCCACAGAAGGAAACTCCTGGAGGAAGGAGGCGAACTCCTCCTATCCCTCGCAGCTTCTTGGTGCAGGAGCCAGGGCACGCGTGCCACTTGTTTGGGTTCTGGCGAGCTCGCTTGCATGGCACGTCCCGCCCCACCCTTCTCGATGGGCCCCAGCCCATGGCGCGCTTTGATGTGGATTCGGGCAAGTGTGCTTGCATGGCACGTCCCCCCCCCTTCTCGATGAGCCCCAGCCCAGAGCGCGCTTGTGTGTGTGGATTCTGGCAGACTTACTTGCATGGCACGTCCCCCCTCCCTTCTCGATGATCCTCAGAACGTATGTTAACGCGAACGTGCGTTTGTCCACCGACGCCCTTCAGTGCGACGCTGGCGACGCAGCTCATGAGGGCCAACACGGGTTGCGTGCTATCGGCGAAGCTGAAAGGGGCAAGCACACAGTGGGCAAACACATGTCCTGAGGATCATCGACCTTCGCCTCCTGTCCAGACAGCTCTGGGCGGAAAAGGCGTGCGAATGAGTCACGACTTGCGTGAGGTACAGACATCCTTTCGGGTCTCGCCACGCCCCCTCCCCTTCCCCCCCTGTGCAAGTCAACTTGCCAGAGGCTAACTAAAAATAGCCTCACATCGATGCCAGCCCCGACGATGAGCCAATTTCGAAGTCGCTCTCGCCCGAGGCCGCAGGTCAAGCTCCACGCGTGTGCCGGCCGTTGGCGCTCCTTCTCTTCCTCCAACAACTGACTGCCCCCCGCTCCCCAGGCCCCCGACGTAAATCCCCAATCAGGCTTTGCCCGAGAGGTTCCGACTTGCCTTGTGGAACAGACGAGTGGGTGCGACGCTCTAATTCCGAGGCGTTGCTCGGGTTCCTTGATATTGGCTCTTTGCAGCCTGCGTAACTGTCGCCGCATTCGTGGGCTCCTGGGAGGTCCAACACAGTGGGAACACACCCAGACAGGGACCTCGCGCCTCCGAGGGGGTGTTGCCACCTGCGCAACAGTCGCCACTTTCGTGGGATCCTGGGAGGTCCGGCGCAGTGGTGGCATACGCAGACCCAGACTAGACCTCGCTGCTCCGTGGGAGGGTTGCCACCTGCGCAAACTGTAGCCACACTCGTGGGCTCCTGGGAGGCCCAGCGCAGTGGGGAGTTACACAGATCCAACGAGAACCTCGCGGCTCCGTGGGGGTGTTGCCACCTGCGCAATCGTCGCCACGATCGTGGGCTGAGGGGAGGTCCAGCGCAGTGGGGACATGCGCAGGCCCAGACTAAGATCTTGCGGCTCCGTGGGGGTGCTGCCACCTGCACAAGACGTCGTAACTTTCCGTGGGCTCTTGGGAAATCCGCCGTACCAGACTAGACCTCGCGGAAGTCCGCCGTACCAGACTCTCAGAGGGGGTGTTGCCATCTGCGCAACTGTCGCCGGCCGTCGCCCGTCGACATAGCCGCCAGCCCGACCCCCGGGCCCCGACGACGGGAGGCGACGATGCGGCAACGGGGCAGCGACGGCGACTACATAGCCGCCAGACCGACCCCCAGGCACAGATGGTTAGAAGAGAAGTAAACACCCCTGGGTGCAAGCACTGCTTGGGGAATACCAGGTTAACAGGTCATTGTTTTCTTGCGCCTCCCCTTCATGCCCTCCCGAAATGTGCGTGATCGCTGGTAGAGAAAGTGTCCAGGAGCCCGAACCGGTGTTATTATATATATAAGCATAGAACAAGAAGGGAATTAATGAGTGCACGCGCGCACTGTCTTTATCAGTGTATATGTACGGATATGTTATATATATATATATATATATATATATATATATATATATATACATGTCCCTGGGCAACTCCCTGTCGGGGATGGTTCTGCTCCTGGGCGCCGCCCTCAGGGCCTCCCAAGAGCCCCGAGAAGAGCTCAGAGACCCCCAAGAGGCCCTCAATATGGTCCAACAGAGCTCCAAGACGCCATAATATCGCTCCAAAACGCCTAAGATGGCTCCCCGACGCACCAAGAAGCCTCCAAGAGCCCTGCCAAGAGGTCCCCAAGAGGCAAAATTCATCGATTTCCCTAAGGTTTTTGAAGGATTTTCGCATTCTCGCCTTTTCCGCTTCCCGACGCTCCAAGACGACCAAAGAGGCCCCAAAGATCGCCCCAAGACGGCCCAAAAGGCCCCCAAGAGGGCTTCAAAACGGCCCAAGAGCGCCCCAAGACAGCCCAAGACGCCCCCAAGACGGGCCAAGAACGCTCCCAAAGGGGCCCCAGAGAGGGAACACGAAACAACATTTCGAGCCCTCGGCCCTAAGAAGCCCCTACGAGGCCCCAAGAGGCCCCTAAGAGGCCCCAAGAGGCCCCCACGAGGCCCTCAGGAGGCCCCCAAGAGTCCCCCAAGCGGCCCCAGGAGGCCCCCCAAATGCCCCCCCGAGCGCCCCAGGAGTCCCCCAAGCGGCCCCAGGAACCCCCAAAGCGCCGCATTGACACCAGGCCCTCGGGCAAACGGCAGACATGAAACTGTATGGGCCGGCGGAATGAGCGAAGCGATTATATATATATATATATATATATATTTATGTACATATATGCACATGTGAATGCACATGTGAACGTCTATGTCTGTGTATGTATAGCTACATATATGTAGATGTACCGGTGAACACACACACACACACACACATATATATCTATATCTATATATATATATCGTACGGTATACATAAATAGTATGTGTATATATATGTGCAATTGCATATACATGGAAACAGCGTTTGCTCTATGTGCACATGTATATGTAAACGTATGTGCGTACGTGCATAAACGTATACACAAACATATGTTTATGTGTATACCAATACGTGTTTACGAACAATTTTCACACACCCACACACCTTCATATTTGTGTGTGTCTATAGGTACCGGCGTATGTATATCTTATGGGTATGTAGAAGTATATGTATTTATGTAGATGTATAGTTACGCAAATGTGCCTGTGTATAGGTATGTGGACATGCTTGTGTCTATGCGTATACGTATGTGCATATGATATGTAGAGGTATTGTTATATGTACATGCCTTTGTACTGTGTAGATGTATGGGACATTAAGCATAACAATTTTGTGGTGGGGGGGGGGGGGATTAGAAGGTGTCCGAGTTACACTGCAGTTGTGGTGACTAACCTCATGAAACCATTAAGGACCCCCCGGGGTTATCATTAGCACAGCACCGGCGCCCCGGCTCGAGTAGTATCCCAATTGGAATTGGAATAAGAATAAGAATGAACTACGAGAAATAATCATACAACTAAGAAAAATAGTAAGACAAACAATAATAATAACAATGAGAATGATAGCACTAGTAAGAGTAATACAAATCGTGGGCGTAAGAATAAGAGTAATAATAAGCATACTCCAAATAAGAATAATGATAATCATAACAATAATTATAAGAATAAGATCAGTTTCTCATTCTCTTCATAATCCTTGTCCTTTACGATTTGTGTTATTACCCCTGTTGAAACATTGTTTTTTTCCAGGCCGTCGTGTGGGGTAGTGCATCCGAGGATATCGCCGCCGCCACGCACGGCGCGTTATCTTAGCACCGCGCCCGCACAACATTGCTACGACAGCTGGTCCAAAACGACAAGAAGTACAATAAGACCAACAATAATAACACTACACATAAGAATAATACTAACAATCTAATACGATAAATAATGCGAATAAGGGTAAGGGTAATAATAGTAATAATAATAATACTCCGACAACAGACGGGCTCCCCTGCTTCTTTCCTCCCTCCCTCCTTTTTCTAATTTTCTTCGTCATCCTTGTCCTATACGATTCTTATTGCCACCCCTATTGAAAACTGTTTTTCCCGGCCGTCGTGTGGGGTAGTGCATCCGAGGGTACCGCCCCCGCCACGCACGGCGCGTTATCTTAGCACCCGAATCGCCAACATTATTCGCCCCCATAGTAGGCACGGACGTTTCCTTTTCAAAGCTGGGCTCTCCCTTGGGTGGGATTTAAGGTTGTTATTGTTGGTGTTGGCGGTGTTGTTGGTGTTATTGATGTTGATGTTGTTGTTGGTGTTGCTGTTATTGGCCTGGTTGTTCTAAATATTGGTGCGAGGTGCCAAGGTAACGCTTCTGGGGTGCCGGGTGCGTTATACTTTCGCCGGAGAGGGGGGGGGTTCTTAATTGCTTCATGAAGTTAGACATGTTTTCATTGCTGCTTGACCTTCCCTCCAAGCAGTGGCTCCAATAATAAAACCCTCTCTCAAATGGAAAGAACTGCCCTCCCTCGCCGGGAATATATTTGGCCGGCCTTCTTGGCTGTCCGAAGCTGTATTGCTGCCCTCCGTGGCAGGGACCTCATTGGCAGGATCTGTCTCCGATTGACCTGGGTACTTGTCTTGCCCTTAGTACCCATCAATATTTATAGCTGGCCCCGTTCCCGAGTGTCTCTGGCTCTAGTAACTGCCCTCCGTCGCCTCAATTTGCAGGCCCTGTCTCCGACTACCCAACATCCACTTGAATGGCCGTTTAGCTGGCCAGCCCTGTCCCCAACTGTTTCCGGCTCTTGTTTACGCTTCTGGTGCTTGCTTTTCCAGCCTCAATGATCTGGACCCACGTGCCAGGCTCTCTTTTCGTTGGTGCAGAACGCGCCAGCTGCGGCGCTGCACCACAGAGCCGACAAGCCCAGCTCGCTAAAAAGAATACGCCAGGGCCCCGCAGCTTTATCGAGGGGCCCAGCAGGCGGAGCAGGCGCTGAACACCGCGATGGGGTGGCGGGTCCCTGCGACAGAATCGCAGTAGACATGCTGTGGCTACGGCCCAAGGTGGGCGGATGAGGCAAATTACACTCCAAGGCTCTGGGCGAAAATGAGTGGGCGCTGCTTGCGCGGCCACCAAGGCCGGCCGCTTCACTTGGCCAACCCAAGAACATGTCGCATCGCCGTTCGTTCTCGACGCGCCCAAGTGGACGACGCCGACACCGCGGCAAACCCGCGGCAAGCCGAGGCGCCCTCCCCAAGGTGTAAGGCCGCGCGTCGGCACAAACGGCGCGGCGACATATAGAATGGGCCGCGAGACCCTCGGGAACAAAAAATGCGCGACCAGGCGGAAGTGGGAGAGGGAGGCCGAGCCCCCAATTATCTGGGACCCTCCCTCCACACCATCCCCCCTGCCCACCGCGCGCGCGGCTCACTTCATCTGCTGCTGCGCAGGAGCGCTGCCGGCGCTGCCCATGCCGGCGTAGCCGCGCATCCCGGCGAACTTCTTCAGCATGACGCGCTCGTGGAAGGCGGCGGCCCCCTCGCTGTGCCCCGAGCCGCCGCAGCAATGGCCGCACAGGGTCGGGCAGCCTGGCCCGCAGCACCAGCAGCAGGGCGGGGGGCAGCAGGGGAAGCCGCCACCGCACCACAGACAGCAGCAGCACTTCACTGGGGCTGGGAACGCCTCCAGGTCCCAGAACAGGTAGCCGCCCGCGCCGTGGGCCACCACGACGTTCATCGAGCGCTCCAGGCCGGAGTTCTTGAAGGGACTCGTCGGCCTACCCTCGAGGAGCGCGACGGCGCCGCTCACCGCGTGGGCGGCGTGGTCGACGGCTCCCTGAGAGTTGGGGTGCTTGTATGGGACGGTGCTCACTCCAGCGGCGAAGATCTCGGGCCAGGCCACGCTCTGGAGGCACTCGTTGACGACCACCTGCCCCTTCTCGTTCAGCACCCCGGCGGCCCCTGCCAGAAAGGCCGTGTTGGGACCTTGCATGTAGCTTGGGATGTACACGTCGCACGCCAGGGTGTCCTGAGCGGAGTCGGCCAGAGCGAGCGTGCATGGTGTCAGCTTGAAGTCCTCCGCGCCCGCGCTGGTGACCGTGCCCTTCACGACCTCAACGCCCAGCTCCTGCGCCTTCGCCTTCACCCGCCGCTGCCACTCTCCAGGGTGGCTGCCAACCAGCAGCTCCCCGCTCCGGCTGAGCAACACCACGCGGGCCGCCTGGTTGGCAACCTTCGCGTCGCCGGCCATCTCTAGGCCCACGAGGCCAGCCCCATTGATCACGATCGTCTTGGCCGCCTTGACCGCCGCCACGGCCTCCCGCACAAGAGCCTTTCGCGCCTCGAGGCTCTCGCCGGGCACAGGCATCAGGAGCGGGAGTCTGTTGCCCGTGGCGACGACCACGGCCCCGTAGGTGATCTGTGGGCTCTTCATAAACTGGATCGTCTTTTCGGCGGGCGAGATCTTCGTGACGGCATCGAATATGTACTCCACGCCATTCACGGTGAAGTCCTCTGGATTCTGGCAGAGCCACTTTTCGTGCTCCCCAGGCCGCGTGAGGGATAGGGTGGCGGAGACTGGCCACTCCAGGAAGGGGTTGGAGCACACCGCGGTCACCTTGCACTTTCTCTTCGTGGCGACTTTCACGGCGTGCAGGAAGGCTATTCCGCCGCCGATGATCACGATGCCGTGACCTGCTGGATCCGCCGTGACCTTGCTTGACATGTCACGGTGGGCACACACGGGCTGCCGCGGGGGGAAAAAAGGGGAGCTCGAGCTTGAGCCAGGGGGCAGGAAAGAGCGAGGAGGGAAGAGGAGGGAGGAACAGGGAGGACTGGTCCGGGCACTTCAACGGCACCAGCAAAGTCAAAACGACGAGGAGCAAGAGTAGGGAAGTGTCCGCGACAAACTCTTCAGGGAACTTTTTCGCGGAACCTCCTTGCGCATAGTACCTGGGTCCTCGGCGTCTTCGGCTCTAAACCGAAGCCGCCGATAGGCACTATAAGCGGCACAACACAACGATCATGGCCTAGTTCGGCCGCCAACACGTTCGCAAACATCCCCGCAAAGCCCCCGACATTGCGCGGCAAGCTCACAAGACGGCCCAACATGACCCCACTATGCCCTGATAAAAGCCTTCCACGCGATCCCGTACCGTAAAAACAACACAGGTGGCCGAACTATAACCACCAGCACCAACATCTAATATCATGTTTCCCTGGTGGAGGCGCACCCCCGTGTGGGTGGTGGTGCCCAATTCCCAAGCCTCCAAGGATTCCCTATCATCCGATCACAACCATCCATCCCGAGCGCGGTAAGATCTCCGCTGAGTCTGGACACTTCCCGAGACAGGCCTACTATTGCCAATGTACTTAATCAAACCGCCCTGGCTTCGGTCCTCTGGTGGTTTGGACCACTGCGCCACCAGAACAGGCACCGCTGGTAGAAAGCACCGATGACATGCGTCTGAACATGGCGTGCAACTTCACAACTTATTGTCGGTCCCGCCACTGCCAAAAAGTTCTTGCGCAACTAATCACGGAATCGATCTTGCCAAACTATGGTTTGCTTCAATGTCGGTATCGGGCCCACACGCTCCGCAATCCAATAATATGATTCCACCACTGTGCTAAGCAACGTCGTCGGCTGGCATATTTTCGATAAGCTGCCCATGTGCGCACAAATTTGCTCCGCAATTCTGCACAAGGCGTGCTCTCACGTTGCGATGCGAGGCGACGATCTGCGACATCAGAAATGGAACCAATGTGGAACAGGCGACATTGATGATGTTGTCGCTGTACGGGTCGGTGAGCCCGCGCTGCAAGAAACATTTCAGATTGGAATTGCATGTTGGGCCCTCCAAAAACGATTAGGGCACAAATATCCTGCTCTGCATACAGATTCTTGCTTTCACCTGTGTCTCGGTGGTGTTTGCGTGGCTGTGATGGGTCAACCTGGAGTTCTGTGTGTCAAAGCGCTGTAACAGCGCGGAGATCTCTGCATCGTCGGCCTCGCATGAGCCACAAGAGCCACAATTCATGTCCGCCAGCACGCGTGCGCGTGGACAGCGTCGGCAAGAACAAGAAAACCACAACAAGGCGCGCCATGGCTCCCGTGAGAGCGCACTCCTCAATGCTACCCATGCTTTTCTGCGGCCGCGTCGAATCCTGCTCGAACCACCATAGTCCCACCCTCCTGCCCAGACCAATCTCTTCAAAATGCCTCCACCTCACAGCGACACATAGCAGAAAACCATCACCCTCAACACAAACGTTCACAAACAAATCGCCCCACTGTTGCGAATCAAACGACGGCGCTGTTTTGAAGATGCTGTGCATGTGCATACGTCGTTCTCCCTGTGCTCCTAAATAACACTCGGATCAATTAGAAGTTCTAACCGTGTTGACCAATATGCCAACCAACGAGTGGCACGATGTTTTTGTTTGATGATTGCAACGAGTCAGAACGGAAGAGCGCTAGGTGGAAAGGTGAAGTAGGGGAGTGAGGAGGGATGGGGGAGGAAGGGAGGAGGGAGAGGAGGGAGGAGACTGGTAACCAACCTGGAACGCGTTAAATTTCATCAGGCGCTCCCAAGATGGCCGAGCAAGCTCCCTGGAAGGCTCAAGATGTCCCACATACGCCCCCCACGACGGCCTTCCCCAAAACCCCACGACGTGAAAACAATCCACACTCGCATAAAATTGCAACCCAAATTCCTCGACCCAGACCCAATGTTCCTGCGGCGATTCTCGAGCTAATTCGATCCTTGAGGGCCCCATGGCGAACGGCGAACGCGCCGGTCGTGTTTTTTCTCGCAGCGCTGAGGTCTGAGTGTTTGGGCTCCCCCCCCCAAAGACAGCCCAGGAGGCCCCCATTAAGCCTTCCGAGCGCTCGACGGATGCCCACAATAGAACGACGCACGCCCAGGCTGAGAGCTCCCAATACTGCCGAAGAGGCTCGCAAGATGAGCGACTAGGCCCCTATGGGCACCCAAAAAGGGACTGCTAAGTTTCCAAGAGGCTGCGAAGACATCCCCAGAGGCCCCCAAGAATGAGGGCACACTTTGTTCTGCATGGTATGGCCCTCTTGCCTGTTTCCCGCCGCTTCCTGTCCTTCACCAGACCAGTCCACAAGGATCGACCAGAACACTCGATTTTGGCTGCTTGATTTTGGGACACAGGTTGAACAGGTCCTTGAACTAAGCGACGGCATCTAGGCCGTCATGGACAGCGCAAGTGGAGTTGTGGGATGTGGCACGGCATTGGCGATATATGGTCCAGGGTTTGGGCCCCCCCCCCAATGCTGATGCCATTGGGCCCCCCCCCTGCGCGATGGTCCCCCCCGCCCCCCCCTGTGGGCGTGGCGTGGTGCTGCGCTGCGGTTCCCCCCCCCCCCCCTGTGGATGTGGTGTGGTGCTGTGGTGGTTCAGAGGTGGGCGTGGCGTGGTGTTGCACTGCGGTGCCCCCCTGCCCCCCCCCTGTGGTGTGGATGTGGTGTGGTGCTGTGATGATTCAGAGTCGTCGTCGTCGTCGTCGTCGTCGTCGTCGTCGTCCTCGTCCTCGTCGTCCTCGTCGTCGTCGTCGTCGTCATCGTCGTCGTCGTCATCGTCGTCGTCGTCATCGTCGTCGTCGCCGTCGTCATCGTCGTCCTCGTCGTCGTCGCCGCCGCCGCCGCCGTCGTCGTCGTCGCCGCAGCCGTCGTTGTCGTCGTCGTGGTCGTCGTCGTCGTCGTCGCCGTCGTCGCCGTCGTCGCCGTCGTCGCAGCCGTCGTCGTCGTCGTCGTCGTCGTCGTCGTCGTCGTCGTCGTCGTCGTCGTCGTCTCTGGGACCATACCATCTGGGGGGGGGGGGGGCCCGAGGAATCCTGGGACCATACCATCTGGGGGGGGGGAGCCGTGGGGGGGGGGGGGCCCGTGGGCCCTCGACCCTGGATCATATATACGCCACACCAGAGCACACCAGGTCATTTAGCTAGCGTGCATGGCCGTAGTTAGACCCAACGGGCTTGCACAGCGCATAGCGGTAACGTGCTGACAAAGAGGAGGCGAGGATGTCTTGAGCGTGCCAACGGTGATGACGAGTACAATCGGTGAAATCCAAATCACGTCACACGCCGTCCAATTCGATGTCCGGGTAATTCCATTGACTTCATACACGGAACACTTGGAAATTGACGCGACATCTCGTAAGGCTGGGGCTTGACTGGAAAGAGAGGTGATATTGAGAGTGCTGGTTGGAGCGATTGGAGCTGGACCACGTCAGACCACACCAGACCAGGCAGGGCTGGGCTTGCCCACACAACAGGAAGGGGCATGATGACGAAACAGTTCACCCACACACGAAAAGCACACTCCTCCTCACCCCCTCCGCCCGCCCCTTTCCTCCGCCCTTCCCTTCCTTCGCCTACCCCATCCCCCTGCCTCTCGCTGCTGCTCCTGCTCCTCTTTTTTTTCTCTCTCCTTCTCTCTCTCTCTCTCCCCTCCTTTTCTTGCACTTCTGCATTCACTTCTCCTCGTCGCACCACCAGACATTTCAGTAGGGCGGGCCGGGCGTTTCGAAACCTGAGATGTCCAGCAGCTGCACTGATGGACGGCGGGTGGTTTTCAAGAATAAATTCTCTCCGTAACGCCGCGCACAGAAGCCTTCGAATGTTCCAACAGCTACACGGGTGAAGTGCGAGTCAATTTCAACACGTGGCTGTTTTACTTAGTGCCTCGCACACTCGCCATAGAACCTCCCAGCAATCATAAGGATGGACGGAGAAGCTCTCGCCGCCGCGCACACTTGTCTCTGACGTCTCCACCAGTTCAGAAGGATGGAGGGCATTCAAACAACGCCTCGCCATGTTGCCGCGCACATTCTTCACTCACGTTCCCAGCAGCTGCAAGGATGGAGGGCGGCTCGGTTCTACAATGGGGTTATTTCCTGGTCGAAGCTTCAATCCATAATGTCAGGACCTGATAGGTCTGCAGCTACAAGCATGGATGGCGGTAATTTTACAACATGGGGCTGTCGATTGGACCATCCTCAACGTGGATGCTCCGGACTCTAACCTTGTGTAGAACTTTCGCAAATGGAGGGCGGCATTTTCGAAACAGGGCTATCGCTGGACCCTTCCATGAACGTTCTGGTCATACGCCGTCGCACCCCTTCTAAAAATACAACACGCATGGCAACGACTGCTCAACACAGGCCTCTCGCCTGACTGGCAAGTCCAACGGGCGCTCGTCTTTTCAAGGGGACGCTCCCCGTAGGGACGGATTACCTGCAGGGACTTGTGAGGAGGGGGCTGGGGACGGGAGGGCGACATCGTTGGTTCAACTTTTGGTTACTCTGATCGCTTGTCTCAATCCTCTTGCCAACTGTGTGTGTGCAGATGCTTCTACCCGTTAAGCGAAGGCACGCGCACTAAACGGAGAAGGAGGAAGAGGAGGAGGAAGGAGGACGAGGACGGGAGAAGGACAATGATGAAATCTTTCAATGGCAAAGCGGCCACGCGCACCACCCTGATGGCGCGGGTCCGGCGGGACGCCGCGCCGCCCGCGCACGCGCACAGTGGCGCGCGCGCGTTCTGGCACGCCCTGCTGCCGCACGGCCCGAAAGCCGAGCGGAGCAGGGTACACAGGGAGCAAAGCGGGGTGGGTGGGCCCCCGAGTCCTGGCTCGATCTCGAGCCAACGACTACGGACCCAAAATGGCTAAGGCAAAGCCCCCACTTCCCTACGCTTAACCTGCAGTCTACCAACATAACAGACTATACAAGTTAAGCGAAGGCACGCGCGCACTAAACGGAGAAGGAGGAAGAGGAGGAGGAAGGAGGACGAGGACGGGAGAAGGACAATGATGAAATCTTTCAATGGCAAAGCGGCCACGCGCACCACCCTGATGGCGCGGGTCCGGCGGGCGCCGCGCCGCCCGCGCACGCGCACAGTGGCGCGCGCGCGTTCTGGCACGCCCTGCTGCCGCACGGCCAAAACCAAAAGAACGCAGCCGCGCGCGGGCGAAAGGCGCCCGAGCGCGCGCGACCACTGGCCTGCAAGCCTGAGGCCTTCCTGGAGCGGGCGCCAGGCCGCCCCGGCTGGGCAGCGCCCTGCCGGCGGCGTGCAACGCGCGCCCGAGCCGGCCCCCACGGCCTCGCCCAGGCGGGGGGGCTAAACGCTCCCCAGGGCCGCGCGTCGCCGGCCCGCCGGCGCGGAATCGCGCACGCGAAAAGCGCTAGCCGCGCGCGTCGCGCAGGACGCGACTCAGTACACGCAAAGAACGAGCGTGCGCAACGAGCGCGCGCGTGCGAAAGCGCACGCGCGAGCTGGAGGCGCAAGCTGGCTGCAGCCCAGTGGACGCCACGAGGCCCGAGCAGCCCGTCGCTCCCCCCTGGTCCTCCTCCTTCTAATCCTCGTCGTCGGGCGGCTCCTGTGTGGCGGACAGCGCGCGGCCCTCGATGCCAGTGCTGCCGGCGAACATGCCAACGTAGGTCGATCCGCTCGCCCCTGTCGTCGCGCCCTTCGTCGGCGCGCCAGTCGCCGCCGCAGTCAGCACCGTGGTCGCCGTGGCGGCCAGGGCCGCTGTCGACGCCGATGTCGGCGCGACCGTCGGCGCCGCTGTCGGAGTAGCCGTCGGTGTCGTGACCAGTTCAGCCATCGGCGAACCGAACCGTGCATCTGCAGGTGCAGCGGCTAGTGCAACCGTCGTCGACGCTGTCCAGGCGGTTGTCTGCGCCGCGGCCAGGGCAACAGACAGACGACCCATCGGCGCTGCCGTTGGTGCAGCAACCGGCGAAGCCGTAGGCGACGAAGCCGGCGCAGCCGCCGCCGCCGCTGTAAACGGGGCGGCCCGAGCCGCAGCCGGAGCAGCGGTCGGTGCCGTAGACGGCGCGGCCGGCGGCACAGCGGTCAGCGCCGCGGTCGGCACGGCGGCCAGAGCTGCCGTCGGCGACGCTATCGGCGCGGCCGTCGGCGCCGCCGCCAGCGCGGCTGTCGGAGTCGCTGTCGGCGCCGCGGTCGGTACACTCGTCGGCGCTGCTGTCGGCGACGTCGTCGGCGCGGCCACCGTAGCCGCAGTCGGTGAGGCGGTCGGGGCCACCGTCGGCTCAGCTGTCAGTACCGCAGCCGCTGCCGCCGTCGGTGCCGCAATTGGCGCCGTTGTCGGTGCCACAATTGGCGCGGCTGTCGATACTGCAGCCGGCATGGCGGTCGGCGTAGCTGGCGGCGCCGCAGTCGGAGCCGGAGTCGGGAAACCCGTCGGGGAGCTAGTCGATGTCCCCGTTGTCG